TAGCATTGAGAATAAATTAGTTTTAATGATTATAACTTTTTTCCGTTAGAAACGCAAAAAATGAAGTTTAAAATCGGGAAAGCGTGTAAAGTTCATGAGATATATCTCTATTTCAATCGCTATTTTTGTTCTAATTGGTCAATTAGACAATAGACCAATTAGGACAAAAATGACGATTGAAATAGATATATATCTATCGTGATTATCAGCATACCATAAATAAAATACGCTACTGTTGTAAATCTAAAACTCTATAGACGCTGTGTTTTATTATTGGTTACTTTCCCTATTCCAATCGTCATTTTTGTCCTAACTGGTCTATTATATATATATATATAGTGCCTAATAATTCTTTTAAAATATAATATTAAGTCAAACATGGTTTGCGCGCGCTACTCTTGTAAATTTAAAGCTCTCTTATGAGACAGGTCGCTGTGCTACAGATATAGTAGAAAATGTGATATATCATATTTTGATATTAAATATATAGAATATCTTATAAAAGTGCTATATTTAATAATGAAAATATCGGACGCAAAGGAAAGTTTTCGAACACTTGCACGAACATATTTGTATCAGTTTCGCTCACGTGATAGACGCCGCCATTGAACATGTTCGTGCAAACACTCGAAAACATTTCGTTGCGTCTAATACTTCTGCTTAAATATAGTATTTTTAATGTTAAAATGTTGTATTATATTGTATACCATCGATACATGTAGACAATCTCACAAATAACTGTGACATCACGCGTTTTCTCAATTTTGAATGTAACTTTTTGTGTGTTTTGTAATGTGACATAATTTAAACTAGCACTATCAGATTTCTCGCCTCAAAAACTATAAGAAATAATGTTGATTTTACTTTCCGCTAACACAACAAAAACAGATTTTTTTGTAATACCCTTCTTAAAAGAATTACCTGAGCTTTATTTTGCACCTCATGGCCACCACTCAATGTGTTAATGGTCGGTTGTCGTGGACCACGTTTGTCTAACAGCAGTTCGCTTGGGCATTTCTCAAAAATGAGTACACGCTCTGCCACGGAGCCTCTTGTGAGGAACGGTCGGACGGGATTATTGCCCGTTCCTGTCGTCACAGCCGTTCTTATATGCTGTTTTTGTTGATTAGTTAATTCTGGATGAGGTACAGCCTGCTCTAGACGTGGTCGTGAAGAAGTAATTTTTGATCCCCATCTAGATGTCATTGAGTGTTTATCTAAATCTTTAACATCTTTGTCCTTTTGTATCTCCATCTCAAATTTCGTTTTTACGCTGGAAACCAATTGCTCTGTGGTACAACTATTATACGTATTGTTGGAAGCTCGTTGTTCCTCAAGTCGTTGTTGGGTAGGTGGATTTTCTTGAGCGGCCTGATATCTAGCTTTAGCATAGTCAACCGCCGACATAGCAGACAAATCATCCTTGCTGAATGATTTCGCACTATTAACTAATGCAATATGACTAGTAGGTACAGTGGCGGCAGTGCCAACATTGTCATTATTGATTATATTTACCATAGAACTAGAAGTTCCCGAATTCGATACTATCGAATTATTCTTATAATAATGGCCTCCGATAATAATTTGTTTGACCGGTTCAACTTTTGGTTTTTCTTGTTTAATAGCCGGTTTCTGTTTATTGCGCAAACATGTTATCTCTGTCCTCTCTGGTTCTTCAGTGATTACAACACCTGTTTTTAAAGCATTTATCAGTCTTTCTTCTTCTCGTGCAACTTCGTCGAGATACGCACATTGTGAGTTCAAATGTGTCATGACTGATTTTTTCTCATTCTGTCCTGGCACTGTTTTTGTAATATCCTCTTGTTGAGATATTTTAGCTGACGTGAGAGATACATCTGTAATTTTTTTGACATCATTTAATTTATTTTTTAATGGCCAAGTTGTCAAACCTGAAGTGGTCGAATGCGATGAGTTAATATTTAACGAGGAATCAATGGATGATGATGTGATTAATGTACTAGTGGGTCTCTTTTGCTGTATCATTCTATTGGAAGATGTCAAATCAACTGGGAAAGTAGTTTCGATAGTCTCTAGAAAGACTTCGCAATGATGAGAGCCAGACGTCTTCATGCAAACCTGAGGTTTTATTATTTGTGATGATTTGTTCAAAAATGATAAGGTAGGAGATAGTAAGACACTTGACAATTTCTTTGAGTTATCTGCAATTATATTATTCTTTGTTGCAACAGCCATTTGCTGTTGTTGGATAGAGTTTTTCTCAAATTTTTGCAGGGCAAATTGTATGGAAGATGGTAACGGCTTAGATGGTAATTTCTGTTTAGAAGCAGCTATTCTAGCTTTGTCCTCTACTACAAAATTATTGACTAGTTTTTCGAGATTGCCATTGTCTAGATTTGGCGAATTTAATATATCTACCGCTGTTGGCGAAGAATGTTCGAGTGATGGCGATGACATCTTGTCGCCAATATTATTTCCAGTCATAGCATGTCCAATAGTAGGTGAATTGCAAGGTGTCAACGTGCTACCAAATTTATCAACAGCAGTTGTGTTGCTGTGACAAGTTAAAATCTCTGTCGGTGCTAATCCACGGCTTTTCCATGTTTGATAAATTGCCTCTGCATGATCACTGATCTGCTTGGCAATTGCGGCTATGTCTTCCTCGCCGGAAGCAGACGAATCTGTAGGAAATTTTCGACGTAAATCATGTTTGGCTGTGGCAGCCATATCATAAAAACACTGTTGTTGACGCAATTGCGAATGATCGAGTAGGAAATTTACAATTTGATTGTTCAATTTGATGGATTGATCTAATATTAATCCGACTAACTCGGGATTCTTTTGAATAGGCACGATGTTAATTGGAATCGCGTAACCAAAATGGATTGTTTGACAGTTCACTCGATCATATCCTGAACGTGATTCGTTTACCAAGCAGGCATTCAAATTTGAACAATGCACTGCCTTACTTGAACGTAAATCGACAATCGCTGATACAAAAAGATTACGTCGTGTCGCGTAAACCTGGCAATCCCAGGACAACGATGTCGGCGACGACAATGATGGTGATTGCTGTAATTCCGTTATTTCAGTTGAAAATAGCGATGAAGATATTTTTGAGGATTGTTGAGATATTGTTATTCTTATCGCTGGCATATCTCAGACCGATTGGTCTAAAAATTTCATTTTCCACAACAGCCACGTTATCTTATATATTTTTTTAAATATAATAGATCATTGTTTCTCTTTTTTATGTTTATGATCATCTTTTGCTTCTTATTTTTGTTTATATATCATTCTTCCTTTTGTCACCATATGTAATTATTAATATCCTTCAAGATTTGTTGATAGATTGACAATTATAATACGGTTGAAATGATCCGATTACAGGATATAATCAAAATCGCACAGATGAGAGACGATCTGAAAAAATAAAAATCAATTTTTATGTTTAAATGTTTAGTAAAGTAATGAAATATGAAAAGTAAAAAAGTTATCAACGAATTAACAAATATTTACTACATATTGAGGATTTAAAAATTGTTTTAAAAAATATTTTTTATGTAATTACATTACAAGTACGCTCTATTATCTTTTGATAAATGTACTTATACAGACCCCAAATGTCATTTTAACAATAACAAAGTACTGATATGTTTTTTGAAATGCCCAATTTTTTTTCTAAAAATTGAATAGTTTTTAAGTTTTATAATTAGATCGAAAGTATTCAAAATATCCCGAATTTTTTAATACATTGCTTATGGTAGAGCGGACTAAACGGAGTCGAAAAGTTTTCTATCATTTTGTAATGTTTTTTAATTACCTAACGAATAGAGTGTCTAAAATCGACGTATAAGAATTTTTAAGTGTTCTTTAAGAAACATTTTTAAGATGTTTCATAGAAAACTCTGAAAGATATCTTAAAGTTGTCTTATGTGTCGATTTTATCCGTTTTTTCAGCAATTTTTAGAAATTAATATCTCATTGCATAACTACTGCAAAAATTGGAAAATAATAGACTTTTCGACTCAGTTTAGTTCTACCTGTCTACAAACAATATGTCAAAACGTTTGAGATACAATTGTACGTGTGTAATCAAAAATAATATATATGTGTCAATCATTAATTACAGACGTTTCGACCATAGGATTGGGTTATCTTCAGGACAACAATAAAGTCATCGGAATCAAATTGATACGTTGTAAAATAGGCAAATGCTGTCAGTGAATCATCGTCCAAAATTAAGAACTTCATTATCGTCTGTTGTTAGCTGGATACCCAAACAAAAATTCAGTCATTTAAATTGTACTCAGCATAACGATGATCCGTTACAATGCAATGTAATTATAACTATGGCTTGAGAGCGTGTGAGAAACACACAGTATTATACTGAAGATGATCTAATCCTATGGTCGAAACGTTTGTAATTGACACATATATATTATTTTTGATTACACACATACAACTGTGTCAGCTCTCATTGGCTTTACACTTCAGAATAAGAAGTTTCAAATGGGTACAAAGTACATACCACTTTCAATTAGATTTTATTTTTTTGATGCAACAATTTCGTTAAACTGGCTACACACTTTCAAGTTCAAGTAACTTATCAAGTATATTTGTACAAGTAAATTTTATGATAATTTTTATGTAATATTTTTTGAAGGAAATTAAAGCTATTATTTAATATAAAAATATCAAAGTAAATATTAAGATACTGGTCAGCTATACTGTTGCACGTTCTTTGCTCTACAGTAAGAAATTAATATTGCAGAAATTAATTTGGCGCCATTTGTTGATATCAAATTTTTAATATAAATTATACATATCACTAGAGTTAACTAAATTGGCAAAAATAGTTACATTTAAGTTTTACTCGTTATTAATTTAATACTATAGTTTTATTCGTATATATTTTTTACATAGTTTAAATAGCGGTCTGATTGATTTTTTATGGTGCTACATGAAGGACTGGAGATCTTTCAAATCTCAAAAGTTTATACAATATGTATTGTATGTATATGTGCACGCGCACGCGTATGCGTGCATCATTAATCGATACTATTAGGTTGGTGCAAAAATAATGTCGATTTTTAACCTTCAACTTCAAATGTAAATATCTAATAAACTTTATTAATCGAAGTAAAAATCATTAGAATCTATACATTTTTGCAACAAGATACAAGTTTCTTTATTCCATTAGCACAGAATTTTCGAGTTCCAGAATCGACAAATTCTCTGAAAGCGTTTTCAGCAGCAGCTTAGTTATTGAAGATTTTTCCCTGTAAAAAGTGGTCGAGATGTTTGAAGAAGTAGTAGTCGATTGACGAGGTCCACCGGTGAGTATGCTAGGTGAAGCAAAATTTCGTACAGTTCGTACAGTTTTTGCAAAGTCGGTTATACAACGTGTGGACGAATGTTGTCGTGCAAACAGAATCGGTCCCTTCCGATTGACTAATGGATATTGATGTTGTAATCGCTGATGCATTTTGTCAATTTCGAGGCAGTACTTCTCTAATGAGATAATTTCGTCTGGTTTTAGAAAAATGGATGATTTCTATTGAACCACCACCAAATGGTTACCATTATCTTCTTCTGATGCAATTTTGGCTTAAGGAAGTGTTCTTTCATCATAATCCAACCATTGAGCAGATCGTCACTCTTTTTAAAGAATCCATCTCATTTTCATCGCATGTTATAATGTGATCAAGAAATGGGTCATTTTTGTTGCGCAGAATAAGAACAGAATAGATTTCGCAACGTCGATTTCTTTGATTTTCGTTCAATTCATAAGAAATCCATTTATCGAGCTTTTTTACTTTTTCGATTTGTTTTAAATGACAAACAACTGTTGAGTGATCAACGTCCTGGGCAACCCCTCAAGTGGTTTTTAATGGAACTGATTCAATAATTGTCTTTAACTGTTGTCAATGATTACGTGCCGTTCGCGACCCTCTTTATCTTCAAGGCTTTCAGTTACGAAATTTTTGAAACCATCGTTGTACTATCCATTCGTTTGTAGTTTCCGGGCCAAATGCTTCATTAATTTTTCGACTCGTTTCTGTTGCTTTAGAGCCTAGTTTGAACTCGTACAAAAAATTGCTTGGAATTTCTTCTTTTCTATTTTTAACAATAATGATAGTAATTCAACACAAAATAATACCAAGAACAAAATTATGAATACAATGAACACAGCGGAATCTGCGCTTGAAAATGGTACAACATAAACATAGTTGAACGTAACGTTATTGTACAGTTAAAGCACCAAAATTTAAAACAATAAAAACCGATATTATTTTTGCACCAACCTAATATATATGTATTCACAGTAAAAATAAAAAACTATAATTTTTATTTTCTTAAGTACGTTTACAATGTTAGAAATCGCTTTGAGATTTCGGACGGAGAATGAATTAGCAAATCACATTTAAGGCTGCATTAAACATATTTTCAAAACATTCAAAAAATTATTTTATAGAAATTGTTTAATGTTGCATTTGAAAGTAGTAAAAAATTTAACGGCAATTTTCTACATGGATAAAAAATTATATCAATAAGAAGTAAATACGTGCTCTAATAAAAATATTAAGAAATAATGAAAAAAATATAATTTTTTTTTATTTAAGCACTTTAAATTTATATTCAAGATGATTTATAATATAATACAAAGTTTCATCGTGATATAGAGATTAGTTATTTTGTATAAATGAATAAAATTATTTAGAATATTTAAACAGACGATCGCAATGAAACTTTATAATATTTATATCATCTTAATAATATATAAATAGTATAAATCATCATAAACATATTTAAAGTTAAACTTACACAAAAAGGTTGAAATGTTTCTTAATATTGTAAAAAATAATTTAATTTTTAATAACAAATAAATTGAATAAACTATAAAAATGTGTTACTAAATAAAAATATAATTTTATTCACATAATTTTTATATGTATATAGTTTATTTGAAGTTGTAAATATTAAACTAAATTAAAATATTACATTTCCATATTTAATTTACTTTGCAGGGACTGTACGACCAATGCTTAAACAATTCGAAGAATTGACAAATGCGACTAGTTAATTCATTTTCCATGTGAGATCTAGCATCGTGAACACAAAGCTATACAGTGATAAACCTCGATGTGTATTTTTATTTGTAAGATTTTATTTCTTTATTTTATATATGCATAATTTTATTTGCAAAGTGTGACATCTTCTTCATATATCATTCATTCGTATTTTTATGTTCAAATCTGTGTCATTTATATATAGTTTTATTTTATTTTTTCTTAAAAAATAGAGATAATGACAACACAATTAGAAAAAAGAAAGAAGAAACAAATAATGCGGAGGAAGATGAAGATATGAACGATGATAGGTATGCTTGTCGGGTAACTCCGTCAAGTTTCGTTTGTGCTCGAGCAGTGCTAAGAATACCTCGGCCAGCCATATTTGGCAATGAGACCGCGTGACCACAGCGTGTAGCGTTCAAGCATGGGCACTAAAAGAATCTATCTTTTGCTTTCCTATTTTTTACGAAAAAGAATTTTATAATGTACAGTCAAAATTTGAATAAAACTCTGATCGCGTGGAAAGACAAACAAAGGGATTTTACGATAATATAAGTTTTACCTAAAATATAATACGTATTTATATTGGGGGATAGGATATTGCTAATTAATACTCGCTTTATTCAACTAATTTATTAAAATTTATAACATTTGATATATATTTTATAACATTTATAACTATTAACATTTATAAATATTAAAATAAATTATTATAAATTATAATAATATTGTTTTTATTTCTCATATAAGCTCGGATAATCCGAATTCTATTATATCTGTATATATATGTGTGTGCAAGAAAAAATCTTGTATTATAAAGTAATCTGTTTGTAAGTAACAACGGACTGATCCTTTAATTATGGCATCCTTTTCGTTATCATGAATGAGATTAAAGGAAGTGATGCAAGGAAGATCAACTATAATTAATGGCGCCGCACCAACTTTTCAGATTCTAGGTCAAATCGAAAAGATTTTAGAAATTCAATCAAATTATTAAATTTCTGAATGCAAATATGAGAAATATGCTTGCCGTTTTGTTTATCTGATAATTTCATGTAAATTATTTCTTGGAACGCAATGTTACATAGAATTTAAACGTATTACATGTAATTAACTGTGAATATAAAATATTTCAGAGAAGTAAACTTTAGAAAAATAATTCTAACTATAACAGTAAAATAGATCATTAAAGAAGAACAAATATCTTAAAAAAAAAGAACAAACAAAACTTCATATACCTATTAGAATGAATTTTAATCGATTAAGCTGTTTTGAAACTTCAATGTGTTCTAAATCAACGTACGCTCGCTATATATTGATATCGTATTATAAAGTCAATGATAGGTATATATAGTGAGTGCAAAAAGTATTCGCATAAAGAAATTTTTTATTTAAAAAAGCTTTATTTGTAGAAAATAAACATTAATTTGCAATTTTTATACAATAAATTCTGTTCTAACATAAACAAATGAACTTCGTGTGTATTCCTGACTTTAGAAGCTAAATTTCTCAACTGTATTTTTGAGTGTCCAAACAATACAATTTTTAATTTTCATTTATTTTTAAGATAATGTATTTTCTATAATCAATACACATCTTTTTGGTATATATAATTTTGAGAAACATACAATATGTAATATAACATTTACCAGAAAAGAGAGATATTAAAAATGTAAAAAAAAAGGCGTCAAGTATTTTTTGCAATATCTTTACGCAAAACATAATCTTACAATTTGTATAAAATATAATGAAAAGGATCACAAATAATTCATAAAAAAAAAAAAAAAAATTAAAATGCAATGTTTTTACGCAAATATATCAAAATAAAGATGTTTAAAAACAATAAAAGAATAAAAAAAATGCCATAAAAAAAAGTGAAATCAAAATCATATATTTTAAGTATATTCATTAAAATAAGTTCTCACAGAACACAGTTCTCTGAGCGGCGCCTTGAGGATTTCTTGACGTCCTTATGATGTAGATGCCCTTTGGACATTCTCTAAAACTGTATTGTATGGAATAATCTCTCACAATTGTAATAGACTTAATAAAAAAAGGAAGATATTTAAGGCGTATAAAGCAGGCCTGTGCAATTTGAGCTCCGGAACCAAAATGCAAAGCCATTGACGTAAAAAAATTCAATATGAGTAAGATTTTAAAAACTGTCAACTATTGATAAGCGCCACTTAAATGCGTATCAACATTTTACATGTCCCCGAAATCTTACCTACATTGAATTTTTTTGCGTCGATGGCTTTGTATTTTGGCTCTGGAGCTCAAATTGAACAGGCTTGATGTAAAGTATAACAACACATTAAAATGAAAATACCAAATGCGTAATGAGAGACGCAGGAATCAAAGAGATTTTTACATTAATAACAAGTAGAAAATTATAGATACAAAAATCGAAAATAAGCAAAATCTCCAGCAGCAGCATACTTAACGTTTCGTTTTCTTTTTGCTTGTAATTCGATATAAATAATTCAATAAATATTTTATTAATATAAGCAAATTATTAACTATTATTATAATTTTTAAATTGTTTTCACAGTTTTTCCTATTCGATTTAGCATGCCAAAGTATTTTTATATAAAAAATTTTCATATTTAAAATAATTTTTTTCTGTTATTTCTTTAATTTTTTGTGGTAACACTTGAATTGAGCAAAATAATGCAAAGTAATTTCGTGATAATTGTGATAATCTTGATAATGTGTGAATAATGCTTTGAAGGAAAATTAAATAACTATTATTTTGATTGGAAGAGAAAATTGTATTTGAATGAAATGTGATATAATAATTTTTTTAAAGAAAAATTAAAACTATTTGAATTTAGAACAGGAAGATCTTTCAATAAAAATTCAAAAATATATATTTAAGCTTTATTGTATAAAAATTAAAGATAGTATCTTTTGGATTATATTTATTAATTTCATATGAGATTTAACTTGGCGCCAGTTGTTGATATAAAATCTTTTATATAAATAATATATAAAATTTTGTGGTTTTGTGGAGTTTAATATAACGCCAGTTATTGAGATCAAGGGGATCCTAAGCCTCTGTATTACCGACTAAATCACATAATTTTTGTATAACAAATACTTTTTTTTCTTGAAATACGAAGCGCCTTACCGGTCCGAGTGAGTTAAGATGTTGACCTACTATATAATATACACTCATTTAAATTGAATTAATTTTCAGAAATAAATTGCGAGCCGATGAAATTATCGGATTCACACAATCAATCTGAAACAAATAATCCCCTCAAAATTTCCCAAATCTTAAAAAACTGTAATAAACTTATTGCGAAAAATATTGCGTCCTAAGCCTTTAGACTACCGAGACACGGAATGCAAGAGATCCGGGTTCGACTCCCGGCCGAGGCAATATTTTTCGCAATAAGTTTATTACAGTTTTTTAAGATAACATTATATAGTAGTTACATCTTAACACTCGGACCGTAAGGCGCTTCGTATTTCAAGTTTTAATATAAACGGTCTTATTTCCAATCATATTTTTTTTCTCTTTCACAGATTCAAAAATCCTTTTCCAGAATTAAAGTATATGCATTAATACGTGTTTGTGAGGTGGAGTTTATGCCGAGAACGATCAAAAATTTCGAAATATTTTTTATCATTTCTTAGTGTATACTCAGATCACACTTTTTTTTTTCTTTACATATACCGACGAATCTCAACAAGTTCATTTTCTACAAAATAATTTTTCTAAGTTCATATATATTTTATATATATTTTTAACTTTATATTATATAAAAAATATATAAAATGTAAAATGTAATTATATCAAAATATGTCGTTACATATGGGTGTGTGTGTGTGTGTGTGTTTTTAACAAACTACAAAGAGAACTTATCAAATAAACATTGTAGAAGACTGCCTTCTTTCTCAAATTAAACATTAAATATCTATCAAAATAATAAATAAAACACCATAAAAAGTCACACGTCGGATCTTTTTTGCGCAACAGATAAAATAAAAATCACCAAATTAGCCACTTTTTCTTTTGGTCTTTCTAATTCCTTACCGATTTACATTTGAAAAGATGTTTTCTCTCATCATATACAATTCATCGACATACTCGTATACAATACATCATATACATTCATATATATTCGATAGGATATTTTAAAAAATGTCGATTTTGGCCCTCAAGAAACACCTGAATAGACCTTGAAAAATCATCGATCGGGTCCTCAGAAAATAGGAAATAATAATCGTTTGTCCGGGAAGTGATGGGAACATTGCTAAAGTGGCTTAAGTATAATAAAAAATAGTAAAAAATGACCAAAAACTTGCTATTATTAATAGCTTTCCATCACTCTTTCTATATTTGCGACTTCATAAAATAAGATAATTGATCCAGCAATGGATGCTTCACTAATAATAGTTTCAATTGTTTACATGCTTATTATTCTTTTGCTCCAATAATTAAAATATTCTATCGCAATATTTTTGTTGTTGAATTGCGTATCACTAAATCTGTTATATGTATATTGAGGTTGTGCATATCAATACATATATAGGGTGTTTGGAAAATAATGATAAATTGTTCGCATAGAAACAGAATGGACTAAACTGAGAAGAAAGTCCTCTACCATTTTACAATTTTTACAATAGTTAAAGGGTTAGATCACCCCTGAGGCCCTAAAATAATATCTAAGTTTAGGAATTTTTTTTAAGTAAATAACTGTGATCAAAAACTGTTTGGAGGGCTTTAGTGTACATATATATTAAACTAAAAAAATATTTTTTTATTAGCCTTATGTCTAAAATGGTGGCACATTGACCCACTCGCGGAATTCTTTTTTCCTACAGCTTCAAATCGGTGTGCAGGATTTCAGAGACACGGTTTGATTCTGAACAAAATACAAAGAATTTTCATTATCTACGTGTCAAAAACTAAAGAAGTACGTAGGGATTTTTGAAAATATTAACTTTTCTCAAAATAGCAACTATTTTACAAAAAAATTGCATTTTTGCTTTAAAATTCACGTTTAAAAATATTAACTGCAAAAAAGTGTTTAATATTTCAAAAAAAGCCTACGTTCTTCTTTGTAAAATGTATTAAAGAATATCCTGTACAAAATTCAAGTAAATCGGATGAAAATTGTAAGAGTTATGTTGCGCACCAATTTTAAAAATGCTGTTTTGAGAAAAATGCATTTAAAGTTTTTCAAGAGGATTTTTTGTCTGGTCAAGTACAAATTTTAATTTTTACCTTCGGCAATTTCGCTACAAAACTGTTCCATCGCATTTCTATGACTAAAAGCTAATGATTTAAGCAAAAAACAAATTCAATTTTTTTAAACCTCAGGGGTGGTCTAACCCCTTACAAGATATTGCTAAAAATGGCTGAAAATTGATCTTCAATAATTTATTACTCA